CGCTACGGTCCACCTCTGTACCAGGTGTTCCCCGCTACGGTCCACCTCTGTAGCAGGTGTTCCCCTGCTACGGTCCACCTCTGTAGCAGGTGTTCCCCGCTACGGTCCACCTCTGTAGCAGGTGTTCCTCGCTACGGTCCACCTCTGTAGCAGGTGTTCCCCGCTGTAAGATAAACCAACTGTGGGTCTTCATATACTTTAACAGGAAGACAAATTATACATTTCAAGACGTCTATTAGCAAACTCGAACACGATGAAGAGAGAGAAGGTGACAGAGGCCAGTGTATTAGAGGAGTGAAGGAGCTCTCTAAGGAGCACAGCACCTGAAGAACCTCCTCCTTAGTGCAAGACGGTTGTCCTCAAGTTGCTGGTGAGCGCTGTTTGAGCCCAAACGTTGTCCTCAAGGGTAGGGGGGGGGGAGGGGGGTTGACCACTCAAGTTATCCTGAAAGTCCGTATGATATCAAGTCAGTGTGTGAAAATGTGTACGTGAAAATCACCTAATCACCCAATCGAGACCACATCTACCATGGTTTACCTGTGGTGGATTTCGAGAGTTATTCTCTGCAAGAACCTGCAAATACGTATAGGCACAGGTGTGAGTGTGGGGGAAGGGGGGACCCTGGTAATGACAGGTGTGCAGTGTACGTACACACACGTACACACACACACACACACACACACACACACACACACACACACACACACACACACACACAAAGGTATGATAGGGAAATAGGACCGGAGTCATTGCTGTAAACATCCGATGATCGAAAGGCGGGATCCAAGAGTCCATGCTCGATCCTGCAGACACAAATAGGTGAGTACACACACTCACCAACGCGCTCCAAAACCCACGCCCACCTGTTACAACGCCCACCTGTCCATAGAGCCCGCCTTTTAACCCCCCCCCCCACTCACCTCTGGCCTCTACACCCCCGCTCTGTATGACCCCCCACCAACACCACTACGTCCACCCCCTGTGTACTGCCTGAACTACACCCGTCCAGTGGACAGGTGTGCCCACACCTGGTACCCATAACTGCTGTCCCCAGCCCTACACCTGTCTGGAGGCGGTGGTGGTGGTCTTGGGCGGCGCCAGGTAAGCATTAAGACAAGAAAAGGGAAGCGACGGCATTCCTATTGTGTCCTACCCCTCCTCCCCACCCCCCTTCCCCCCCATCACTACCCATCCCTTACCTGGTGTGATGGGCACCTTCCCATCCCTCTCTCTAAGCTCACCTTTCCACCTTCGCTCCTATATAATATACGTAGATCTTCACTCCTATATCTTCGCTCCAGCACAAATACATTGGAAGCTCCTGTGAACTACAGCGTCGCTGATGTCGAGTTGGGTCTGAATGGTGACAATTTTCTCACTATAGAATACAATGCTCTAGCTCTGGGTCCCCCGCCTTAGTTCACACGCTTTACCCTTGACTTCATCTCGTCCATACAAGCCGGACTGCCAGAGGTACTTGTAGACAAGTAGTTGTGACATCTGTTAGTTTGATTGATTGATTTCTCTTACTTGGCTCATACAAGTGTTTCTGAACAACGGTTTCTGTTCATCAACGGTTGGTTTCTGAACAACGGTTTCTGTTCCTCAACGGTTGGTTGCTGAACAACGGTTTCTGTTCATCAACGGTTGGTTTCTGAACAACGGTTTCTGTTCATCAACGGTTGGTTTCTGAACAACGGTTTCTGTTCGTCAACGATTGGTTGCTGAACAACGGTTTCTGTTCCTCAACGGTTGGTTGCTGAACAACGGTTTCTGTTCCTCAACGGTTTCTGTTCAGGAACGGTTGGTTTCTGAACAACGGTTTCTGTTCATCAACGGTTGGTTTCTGAACAACGGTTTCTGTTCATCAACGGTTGGTTTCTGAACAACGGTTTCTGTTCATCAACGGTTGGTTGCTGAACAACGGTTGTAGAAACTGCAAGTTTCAGTGTAGTTTTGTAGGTTTCAATGCAAGTTTCGCAGTGTAGAAACTGCAAGTGTCTACAACCGTTCTCTCTAATAGTACACCGTATTTTTGACGGATGAATCCCCTACGGCCAAAGACTGATGTACTAATTAATACAAATCACAGCGGCTCGCAAAATTGACATTATGCTCGCTTTTTATTCGCGGCTCCTCTGTTTGGTTCGGGCAAGTTAGTACATCACTTTAATGACGTTTTGAACGCTCGAGAGGACGGACTGCTTCCTGACGAATACTTAAGATACAACAAGAGAGATGAGAGAGAGAGATATATATATGAGAGAGAGAGAGATATATATATGAGAGAGAGAGAGATATATGAGAGAGAGAGATATATATATGAGAGAGAGATATATATATATGAGAGAGAGAGATATATATATGAGAGAGAGAGATATATATATATGAGAGAGAGAGATATATGAGAGAGAGAGATATATATATGAGAGAGAGAGAGAGAGAGAGATATGAGAGAGAGAAAGAGATATGAGAGAGAGAAAGAGATATGAGAGAGAGAAAGAGATATGAGAGAGAGAAAGAGATATGAGAGAGAGAAAGAGATATGAGAGAGAGAGAAAGAGATATGAGAGAGAGAGAGAGAGATATGAGAGAGAGAGAGATATGAGAGAGAGAGAGATATGAGAGAGAGAGAGAGATATGAGAGAGAGAGAGAGAGATATGAGAGAGAGAAAGAGATATGAGAGAGAGAAAGAGATATGAGAGAGAGAAAGAGATATGAGAGAGAGAGAGATATGAGAGAGAGAGAAAGAGATATGAGAGAGAGAGAGAGAGATATGAGAGAGAGAGAGAGAGAGAGAGAGAGAGAGAGAGAGAGAGAGAGAGAGAGAGATATGAGAGAGAGAGAGAGATATGAGAGAGAGAGAGAGAGAGAGAGAGAGAGAGAGATATGAGAGAGAGAGAGAGATATGAGAGAGAGAGAGAGAGATATGAGAGAGAGAGAGAGAGATATGAGAGAGAGAGAGAGAGATATGAGAGAGAGACCTGTCCGTCTGAAGACACCTTAACTCTCACACAGCCAAGATTGACGCTGCCGCCTCCTGCCTCCTCCTCCAGAAGGTCGCCGTGAGGGCACAAGAGTCACATTGTAGGGATAACTATCAAGGTCGAACCCAAACAGCTTCGCGGAAGGCCACGGGAGTCGACCGCGTCAGGTATGGTCACAGCCTCGAGGAATTTCCCTTCGCTCCAAACCGCCTTGGACCAACCACCCTATTCCTTATATTCCTTACTCTCCCAGGCTTCCCTAAAACTGCTTCCTCTGCGAGTGGATATACCGTAAATATAGCGATACCCGCGAGTGGATATGCCGTAAATATAGCGATACCCGCGAGTGGATATACCGTATATATAGCGATACCCGCGAGTGGATATACCGTAAATATAGCGATACCCGCGAGTGGATATGCCGTAAATATAGCGATACCCGCGAGTGGATATACCGTAAATATAGCGATACCCGCGAGTGGATATGCCGTAAATATAGCGATACCCGCGAGTGGATATACCGTATATATAGCGATACCCGCGAGTGGATATACCGTATATATATACCCCGTCAGGGGCGGTATCTCCCCCGTGGGGCAGTAGGGGCACTTACCAACCCGTGCCCCGGGGCAGTAAGTAATTACGGAGAGAGTTAATTTAAGCTCTTGTGTGTCTGCCCATCCCAGCCCATCCTCAGTGCGTGAAAACACTATCCTCGCCGCCCTTCTGAAGACTAACCTTCCCATCCCATCCCATCCTCACAATCCCCCAATCATCCTCACAATCCTTCAGAACATTGACACAATACACCATAATAACACCGTCCCACTGGATATCTCCAACACCCAAATTACAACCACACCGACTAATTTGTACTAATATATCTCAATTGTTTTCCGTAAACAATTCCTTTAACCCCGCACCTCTAACACTATATTCACCCCTTCAGACCACAACCAGCGTGCGTTCCAGTATCACCTTATGGCCGGGGCGGGGGGTTTGTCTCAGTGCTATAGCGGTTAGTTGCCTCGGGGGCTCCAGGCTGCCTACACTCTTACCTAGCCACAACACCTGGGTGGGTGTAGAGGCGAGGGAAGGGAGTCTGGGTGTAGAAGGGGGTGATAATCAGACAGGTGTGTGTAGAGAGGTACTGCACAATGAACGGTCTAACAAGGTGGAAAGTGTAGTGTACTATATGTGCGTAAGGGAGCCGGTCGGCCGAGCGGACAGCACGCTGGACTTGTGATCCTGTGGTCCTGGGTTCGATCCCAGGCGCCGGCGAGAAACATTGGGCAGAGTTTCTTTCACCCTATGCCTCTGTTACCTAGCAGTAAAATAGGTACCTGGGTGTTAGTCAGCTGTCACGGGCTGCTTCCTGGGGGTGGAGGCCTGGTCGAGGACCGGGTCGCGGGGACACTAAAAAAAAGCCCCGAAATCATCTCAAGATAACCTCAAGATGGTGGACAGGCGGTCTGTGATTGAGAGAGAGAGAGAGAGAGAGAGAGAGAGACAGGGAGAGAGGGGGGAGAGACAGAGAGAGAGGGGGGAAAAGAGGCAGATTGACAACAACTCACCACTACCACCCTATCAAGCGAGTCAACAAATCCGTCACCATCTTATACATCACATCGGAAGCCCGTCTAATGGAGCCGGTAAGAAGCCCTCCACCTTATTGACAGTGCCACCACACACACATATAGAACCATCACACACATATAGCCCCATCACATATAGCGGCATGCCAGGTGTATTAACACACGAGAGCATGCCAGGGTCGCGTGGGCCCGGCGTAAGTCTCACATTAACAGCTATGTACCGCGCTCTCCAGTCTTCCCCGCGGGCGACTTCACCAACATATGGGGAGTGTGTTCGGGCGACCATACAATGCCCCGATGGCGCACACTCCGGTGGGAAGGGGGCCATATGGCCCTCCTCGTCCATATCCGACCGCTGCACACTTGTCTATGGTCACCGGTGCAGTCTATGGTCACCGGTACAGGAGCGCATTTATCATGCGCATCATTTATCACGGCGCTGGTGCGCCAGTGGGCCGCCAGCGCCTCACCCCCCCTTTTTTTTTGGGGGGGGGGGAAGTAAAGAGGAAGGAGAGGCATAGGTGAAGGGAAGTATAGAAGTGGGAAATACAGTGAGAGGTATGAAAGCAGGCGGGCTGTCCGCCTTGCTGACACGATGTGTGGGTGTTGGCAGCTAAGCTAAGCTGGCTCCCTCTTGTCAGGGAGCTGTGAGTGTGTGAGAGGTTCTTCACATGTGTTTCACCATATATGGATGTCCATAGATGAATACTGTGTAGCATTCATATATACACACTCCGATGCTTCCACACATGTTATTCTGCTTAAGGCTCTTTATTTCAATATTATTATTTATCGAGTTGTCATACATATTATTTATCGAGTAGTTCATACATACACACATATGAACTGTTCATATATACATAAATATATCTCATCTGGGGATTATATACTGTGGGGCGAGGTTTTCGTCCAGAGAATCGAGGCTCTTGGGCCACCAGCTGTGGGAGCGGGGCGTCTCATCTTGGAGTAATCTTTCAAACATTGGGTCCTCTAACATTTCGATGGTGTTCCACACCCTGATGGCTTGGAGCTGCAGTCTGATGTTTAGTGGCTGTGTTCAGGAGTTCGTGTAGCTCCTGGTCCCCCGCGCCAGCCCCTCAACCACCGCGCCAGTGCGCCGCCAGCCCCTCAACCACCGCACCAGTGGGCCGCCAGCCCCTCAACCACCGCACCAGTGGGCCGCCAGCCCCTCAACCACCGCACCAGTGGGCCGCCAGCCCCTCAACCACCGCACCAGTGGGCCACCAGCGCCTCAACCACCGCACCAGTGGGCCACCAGCGCCTCACCACCGCACCAGTGGGCCGCCAGCCCCTCAACCACCGCACCAGTGGGCCACCAGCGCCTCACCACCGCACCAGTGGGCCACCAGCGCCTCACCACCGCACCAGTGGGCCGCCAGCCCCTCAACCACCGCACCAGTGGGCCGCCAGCCCCTCAACCACCGCACCAGTGGGCCGCCAGCCCCTCAACCACCGCACCAGTGGGCCACCAGCGCCTCACCACCGCACCAGTGGGCCACCAGCGCCTCACCACCGCACCAGTGGGCCGCCAGCCCCTCAACCACCGCACCAGTGGGCCGCCAGCCCTCACCACCGCACCAGTGGGCCGCCAGCCCCTCAACCACCGCACCAGTGGGCCGCCAGCCCCTCAACCACCGCACCAGTGGGCCACCAGCGCCTCACCACCGCACCAGTGGGCCGCCAGCCCCTCAACCACCGCACCAGTGGGCCACCAGCCCCTCAACCACCGCACCAGTGGGCCGCCAGCCCCTCAACCACCGCACCAGTGGGCCGCCAGCCCCTCAACCACCGCACCAGTGGGCCGCCAGCCCTCACCACCGCACCAGTGGGCCGCCAGCCCCTCAACCACCGCGCCAGTGGGCCGCCAGCCCTCACCACCGCACCAGTGGGCCACCCACAATAAGATCACCATAGTTCATTTCAGGCCGGTGGCAACCGCTACCCGTAATTACTTCATATTTAGTCCATGCACCCGGCGAAGTTTTTGTATCAATTACATTAATGTAGAACACGTTCAGGAGTTCTTGTAGTGCTGTAGTGCGGCCCTCCCACCGGGCCCTCAGCGGGCCCCAAGGGCCGAGGGGGCCCCGGTGATCGTAACTCAGTACATGAACTGGTACTTATAGCTGCCTCCGCCCCCCTCTAGCCCTGCTGGCCGGTATACACCCCATAATCTGACTTAACTACACCTCCCTCTTACGCTTCTATACTCATCTCTTGGTCTGGCGTACGCGTAAGACTGCTCTCATTCCCCGCCCGCGTGTGTGGGGGCTGCTGCTGCTGCTCTTCCTGTGGCGGACCGTACTGGTGCTGTGGTGGTGGTGGTGCTGGGGTGGTGGTGGTGGTGGTGGTGGTGGTGCTGGGGTGGTGGTACTGGTGGTGGTGGTGCTGGGGTGGTGGTACTGGTGCTGGGGTGGTGGTGGTGGTGGGGTGGGGGGGGGGGTGTGAGGGTGGTGCGGGGGGGGGAGTGAGGGTGGGGGGGGAGTGAGGGTGGTGGGGGGAGTGAGGGTGGTGGGGGGGGATGGGAGGCAGTAATGGTATGATAGTGATGGTAGTAGTGGTGGCTAAGCTAGTGGTTACTGGTGGTTGTGACAGTGATGGTGGTAGTAATAGTAGGGGCACTGGTAGTAGCAGTAGTCCTAATGGTGGTGGTAGTGGTGATAGTCACAGGGGGGGGGGGGTAACAACAGGCTGGTTGTGGTGGTGGCAATAGTAGTGGTGGTAGTGGTGGTTGTAAACTTGTAGCGAGTGTGTTAGCGGGGTTGACAATAGTATGGGGGTGAAAAAGGGGGGGAGGGTGTGAATGGGGGTGACATAAGCGAGTGGACCACCACAAGGGCCGACCCCTCCCCCCCCCCCCAGATCACTCAACACACGAGAGTTAATACCCTCCAGTCCTGTATGTTTATACCAGAGCCGTTAATAGCTATCACGTCTTCACCCGGTTGACTGCACGTGGAATGTTCCCCCCCCCCCCTAATCCTTCCCCCCCCCCCCCCCCCACAACCCCCCCTAATCCTTCCCCCCACCCCCACAACCCCCCTAATCCTTCCCCCCACCCCCACAACCCCCCCTAATCCTTCCCCCCACCCCCACAACCCCCCCTAATCCTTCCCCCCACCCCCACAACCCCCCCTAATCCTTCCCCCCACCCCCACAGCCCCCCCTAATCCTTCCCCCCACCCCCACAACCCCCCCTAATCCTTCCCCCCACCCCCACAACCCCCCTAATCCTTCCCCCCACCCCCACAACCCCCCTCCCCCACATGCATAAACAGCTGCTCGCCCCTTCAATCATCTACCCCACAATTCCACCAGTTGAATTAGCGTCGGGGAACTAAACTCACAGGTGATGTCGTCTGCAACATTAGATAAATTTTTTTCAGTTGTTCTAAGTAATGTTTGAGGACGGCTCGAGTCCTTGATGACATGTTAAGTGACCTACAAAGGGTATATATATATATACATCGATGTGTATACATAGCTTCTCGGTGTGTGTATATATATATACATCGATGTGTATACATAGCTTCTCGGTGTGTGTGTGTGTGTATATATATATATATATACATCGATGTGTATACATAGCTTCTCGGTGTGTGTGTGTATATATATATATATACATCGATGTGTATACATAGCTTCTCGGTGTGTGTGTATATATATATATATATATATATATATATATATATATATATATATATATCGATGTGTATACATTGCTCCTCGGTGTGTGTATATATATATATATATACATCGATGTGTATACATTGCTCCTCGGTGTGTGTGTATATATATACATCGATGTGTATACATAGCTTCTCGGTGTGTGTGTATATATATATATATATATATATATATATATATATATATATATATATATATATATATATATATATACACATCGATGTGTATACATTGCTCCTCGGTGTGTGTGTGTATATATATATATATACATCGATGTGTATACATAGCTTCTCGGTGTGTGTGTGTACATATATATATACATCGATGTGTATACATAGCTTCTCGGTGTGTGTGTGTGTGTATATATATATACATCGATGTGTATACATAGCTTCTCGGTGTGTGTGTGTGTGTGTGTGTGTATATATATATACACAGTATTCTAGCCCTAAGCCATGTTTTGGACTACTATATATAACGCCTCTCAGGTTAGTCAGTAGTTAATAGCTCTCAGGTTAGTCAGCAGAATAGATTGGTTAGAAAGGCGGGGTCCAAGAGCTAATAGCTCGATCCTGCCGACACACATAGTAAATATACACACATAAAATGTCTAGCATAAAACTAAATTAGAGAAGGCTCAGAGGTCTGCCATCAGACTAGTGCCAGAACTGAGGGCCATGAGCTATGAGGAGAGACTTAAGGAATTAAACCTCACGTCGCTGAAAGACAGGAGAGTTAGTGGGGGTTACCTTAACTTACCTTGAGGTGCTTCCGGGGCTTAGTGTCCCCGCGGCCCGGTCGTCGACCAGGCCTCCTGGTTGCTGGATCTACACTGCATTTGGGGAGGATATGATCAAAACATACAAGATTCTCAAAGGAATTGACAGGGTAGACAAAAACAGTTTAACACAAGAGGCACACGCACTAGGGACACAGGTGGAAATTGAGCGCCCAAATGAGCCATAAAGACATTAGAAAGAATTTGTTCAGTGTCAGAGTAGTTAATAAATGGAATGCATTAGGCAGTGATGTGGTGGAGGCTGACTCCATACACAGTTTTAAATGTAGATATGATAGAGCCCAATAGGCTTAGCAACCTGTACACCAACTTCTCAACAACCTCCCAAAACCAGTTCGTTAATGTTCTTTATCCTGTGCTTCAAAAAGTACAACCAATCTGCCCCCCCCTCCCCCACCTGCCGTCTTCCAGAGGGGGATTGAACCCCTTCATCGTCGGTTGTGAGCCGATGACTTAGCCCACTGCGCCACAGGACCCCCCTCACATTCATGACCTCCTGACTGGCAAACACAAGAGGTCACGCATTATGTTGATCACCTTAACACAGGCTGGAGAGAGATCGCCGGCAGTACTGACCCGCCGCAGACACGGGCCAGTACTGACCCGCCTCTATCTAGTCAAACACCTAGGTCACTACTGCCCCAGCGCAGGTCAATAGAGGTCATTCTTCGCGCTCCCCAGGTCGGTAAAAGTGTCCTCGTGGCGTGTTGGCATCTCTGGGGGGTTATTATTGGCCTCTCCAAGGTCAGTCTGGGACATTAATCAATCACCTGTCCACTCATCAGGCCGTGTGCTCCACCTGCAGTTGTTATACAGCTAGAGTTGAGTGGTACAAGACACTGACATGCGCGCGCACACACACACACACACACACACACACACACACACACACACACACACACACACACACACACACACACCTGACCTCTCGCAACACTGCCGGTAACTTACCAAGCTTATAGCATCCTATAGCATTAATATAAAAAAAAGAATTGGGGTGGTAGGAGCGGAAAAGATTAAAGTGTTCAGTGAGAATCCACAAGATCTTCTCTGAATATTCTTTTTCTTCTTCACCGAGGCTATGGGTCCCTACACTTGCACCAGAGAGGTGGTATCCATATTATTATTATTATTATTATAATATATATATATATATATATATATATATATATATATATATATATATATATATATATATATATATATATATATATGTCGTACCTAGTAGCCAGAACGCACTTATCAGCCTACAATGCAAGGCCCGATTTGTCTAATAAGCCAAGTTTTCATGAATTAATATGTTTTCTCTAGTTTTTTTCTTACGAAATGATAAAGCTACCCATTTCATTATGTATGAGGTCAATTTTTTTTTAATGGAGTTAAAATTAACGTAGATATATGACCGAACCTAACCAACCCTCCTTAACCTAACCTAACCTATCTTCACAGGTTAGGTTCGGTTAGGTAGCAGAAAAAGTTAGGTTAGGTTAGGTTAGGTAGGTTAGGTAGTCGAAAAAACATTAATTCATGAAAACTTGGCTTATTAGGCAAATCGGGCCTTGAATAGTAGGCTGATAAGTACGTTCTGGCTATTAGGTACGACATATATATATATATATATATATATATATATATATATATATATATATATATATATATATATATATATATATATATACTGTATATATATATATATATATTCACAGTAACGATGAGGACCCTAATATATATACTAACATACAACAAAGTTAGAAAATAGAAATCTGAACTATTGCGTTGGACAAACTGGAAAACTATTTTGTTTACCTGTGTTGCTTTAACGAACTAAACTAACCTCCCTAGGCCTAATATGGTACATATGTGCACTATACTAGGCCTAGAAATATTTAAGTGTTTTAGTTTCACTTTAAAAGCATTCCTTACTAGTCAGTATACTACTATCTAAACGCTAAGAACCTACGAATTCGTGACTGTTGGCGCCCGTCACAACAGGTGCTGTCTAAACAGGAGGACGGGTTGCTGTATCAAAGATAGCACCGAGACATTTTTTTTTAACATTCTCACCGGAGCAGCTTCGTGTTCTTCAACACGTCATGAAAGTCTTTGATGATGTGCTGAAGAACACGATGGTGCTCCACCAAGAATGTTAAAATCTCTTTGTTTTGCATATATATATATATATATATATATATATATATATATATATATATATATATATATATATATATATATATATATATATATATATATATATATATATATATATATATATATATATACACATACATACATACATTCACACATACATAAACACACACACACAGAAGACATAATTAGTTTCTCGGTGTATATACACTTAAGACTGCACTATAGCCTTAGACTTACTTTTTTGGGGGGGATTGGGGTTGGGGGTCAAA